TAAGTTTTTCCTCTTTTCTACTCTTCTTAGGAAACAGTTTTTTTTTTCCACACACTCTTGAAATTTTACCTAATAAGTTCATTCTGAATTTGAAGCCTATTAATATTCAGAAGATATAGACATTTTTGAAAAGAGGTTTTCTTTATTTTATACATCAAAACATTACCATTTTTTTCTTTAAAAAAATGTTAAGGCTGGATGTAGTGGGGCACACCTGTATCCCAGCTACCAGGCAGAAGCCGGCCATGAGCAAAAAGCATGACATCCTATGAGAAAAACTAAAGCAAAACGGGCTGAAGGTGTGGCTCAGTGATAGAATGCTTGCCTACGAGGTTCAAGGCCCTGAGTACATCTCCCAGAACTGCCAAAAATAAAGTAATGTCAGTGAAATGAAGAAAGTTTAATATAAATCAGGGTTTGCAATGCTTGATGTTGTTATAAATCAAGTTTGTTATGCTGTTAATCTAACTTTGTTGTTAAAGAAAATATTGATACTCTAAGTTGGGTTTTTGTTTGTTTTTTGCCTTTAACAAATTTTATTTCAGAGGTTTAAGTCTTAGTTGTATTTTCTGAAGTACAGCTGTGCTGTGCTTTATTCTTGTTTTCTTTTTTTTAAACAGAGACTATTTATTCTCCATCAAATATTTCATTCATTTATTCATTCATTCAATCAGTATGAAGTCTACCATTTGTGTTCATTACTGTTTTGAGCAATTTGAGGGAAATGAAATAGTCTTTTTTTCTTAAAGCCAATATTTTTGGTCATTTATTAGTGACAATATGCATGTCCTTTATTTAATTACTTCAACAATCCTATAAAGTAGATACCATGATAGTCCACCACTATTTTCCAGCTGAAGAAGTTTTTGAAATTAACTAGGTGAAATGGTACAGACAATATAAAGACGGACAATTCAACATACTAAAATTCATGTGTGTACCTTAGGACTGTGAATTTCAGAGAAGGAAGAGATTAATGTGGTTTGAGGTGCTCAAAGATGACCACATTAAGGAAATGGGATGTGAGCTAGCCCTGAAAAACAGAAGGTGGATAGAATTTGGACACGTAAAAGAAAGGGGATGAGAGATTAGGATATGAAGAGAAACCATGGGCAGAGATTCAGAGATTGGTATAAATACAATGTTTTATAACACTGAAGGATTTGGCCTGATTAGAATGGAGCCTCATTGTTATGAATAGTCCTTAGTTCTTATTGAAGAGTGTTGGTTTTCTCCTATAGCTAATTAAGGAGTAATTAAGGATTCTAAGAAGGAAAGTGGACCTTCAGAAAAGAGTTATGGGAAAGATATGGACTAACTACATAGAGAAGGACATGAAGCTTGAGAACAGTCACATGTAATGCTTTCTAGTTTGGGAGAATGAAATAATGGGAAATGAAAATGTCTGGTTGTTCACTTCAGACTAAGTGTCAAAAATATGTCACCCTAACACATGAAAGGGAAGTCCAACTGGTACTTGTCTTTTGTTCACTCCCTTATTTCTTCAAAAACACTTTCTGACCTAGACCATCCTAGAATCCGTGGTGATAAAGTCACCCAAACCCTAGAGGTTCACTGGAGGAAGTTAGCATTAAAGCTTTGGATGGCTAGAGAAGAAGGCCAGTCTACTGCTACACCTTGATGACCAAGACTTGTGAGGAGAGGAGATGGTGCATTAAGAAGTAACTTCAACCAGAAAAGATGTATCATTTCAGGGATGGTGGAGTGGCTCAAGTGGTAGAGCGCTGCCTAGCAAGCATGAGGCTCTGAGTTCAAACCTTAGTACCACCAAAAAAAATTAGAAAACAGAAAAGATGTATTATTTCAATCTACATCTATTTAGAACCCAAAAAATGCCAGGGATAAATGGTAAACTTATGGCTGGGAAGAGATATCCATTTATTCTCTAAAAGAATAGAGCTATCAACACAATCACCAGTAAATTTCTAATTACCAAGTCCAGTATGTTTGCTGAGCATTCTTTCAAGTATAGTTATTTGAAGATTTTAATTGAGTTGACCATTCTCACCTTTATAAAAATCTTTCTTTGCTTCTGGATATTTAAATTTTTTCTTTCTCCTTGCAATCTTTGTTCTTTGAATGAATTTGATTTTTTTCTATGTCCTAAAAGCCCTGTCCTTAACTTTCTACTTGCTTCAATAAGTGCACTCTCAATTGTAAATCTCATAGTACCATGATGTTAAATCCTATTTGAATATATTTGCATGACCCTCAAATCTCTATCTCTAGCCCTGATGTCTTGGGGTTTCAATATATATATATATATATATATATGAGAACTTTTATAGGAAAATAATAATTGTGCCTGAAAGCTGGTTCAAAATATTCCCAAAATTGAATCTTTCTATATATCTAGAAATAGCCAGTATCGCTATATTATAAACATGTAGATGTGTAATCTTTAGGCCACTTTACCTCCATCATCCAGAGGCTCAGTTGCTAAGAAGACCTGTTGCAAGTTTCCCCACTGTTACTACACTAGGATAAGATTTTTATCACTTTATGCCTGAATAACTGCAATGACTTCCATTTGGTCTCTGGAGTCTGGTTTTCCCCCATGGGTGTCATAGTAGTGTATCATGATCCAACTTTTTTTCTGATACTTCATGTTCTCAAACAGCTAGCTTCAACTTACATGTCCATCTTTATTTCCCACAGATTGAACCTGGGAGCCTTTGATTTAGCCAAGTCCTTCTATTCACTGCCTCTGAACAGATAGTAAGTACCCCTTCTCCTTGGTTCACCTACTCCTCTTCTGCTAGAAAGCCCTTCCTTACTCCTTCATGACTATTGAAAATGTACTTAATTCAAATTCTACTTCCTTTATAAAACCTTATGTGAATACTTAATCCATAGAATCTCCCTATTTCTTTAACTCAAATAATTATGGTTCTTACTATTTGTTGTATAAAATATTTATCAAATATTTTAATTTATTGTTCATTATTTTTTCATGTGTGTTAGGCTCATTTTCCAGATTAAATAACAACCATGCCTTAGTCTTCCTGGCCCACCTTCCCCCACACATGTACACAACAGTGAATGTATTGAAGACACTCACGAATATTATTGATTTATTTATTGACTGAATATATATGAACTATAAGGAATAGTAAGTATTATAAGAAAAGGAGACCTTAAAACCTGGTGAAAGGATGTCCAAGGTTGATTCTTCTGGATAGAGACAATTTTTACTAACCTCACTTTAGACTTTAGGTATATACAATGGCTAGCAAATTGTCACTTTTGGGGATAACTTTTCTTGTGACACTTTAAATGCTTATAAAGGAAATAAAATCAGCTTTTATTTATGCTTGAAGCTGAAATTTAACATTTATCTTTAAAAGGAACATGAGGCCATTTCTGATCCCACGAACTGGTATATTATAGAAGATATTTAATTGATAATACTTTTTTTTTAGGGGAGAGCATAAATACAGTCCCCCACTACAGTAAATTATGCAGTTGAGTTTCCTGCATTTGGGAAAATTGCAGAGGTCACCACATCCAGATAAGGCTCACCCTGAGAAAATCACCTTTGTCATCATGGTATCTCCCCTGCCAGGTAAGTATGCAAGGTATATTTTTGTTGTTATATTTTTATATGAAGTTATTTTGTCTTGTTTCTATTTTTACATGGTGATAGTACCCCGGCAATATAGACTATTAAGTCTTCTTAGCAAGGAACTACTTGAATCTATTCATTTTACAGATGTGGACAATGAGTTCCAAAGAGGGTAACTGACTTGTCAAAGGTTAGGTCTAGTTATTGCCAAAGCTGCATCTAGAAATTAGGATTATTGGTTCCTACTTCTATGCTTTTTCCATAAACACATAATGTATAATTTCATTTTTGTACCTTAAACTGACATTATTCAAATGAGTAAAAACTTGACAACAGTTTTTCATTATTTCTCTTATTTTATACCCATGAAAGTGAATTAGTGCCTTTTAAGTTATTAATAAGGGCATTCTAAATAGAAACACAGCATGAGCAGTTTATTATGATGTGTACCAACATAAGGGAGATATGAATATCATCTTAATTATTTACATTTCTGAAATTTCATAAAGCTGTAAGTTTTTTTCATTGGTGAGTTGAGTGGAAAACAGTTATTTTGTTTTGTTTTGTTTTGTTTTGGAAGATAATTCTATACTGGGCACTATGCTATAATATTTGTAATAGTAGTATGGAGATTATTGGAAACATCAAAAATAATTAGTTTTATCCAGGAAAAGACCTAAAAACAGTGAGTCAATGTAAATTGGTGCTAATGACATGGGAATATGAGAGAAGAATATGGCAGGAAACATGGAATGTCACAATTATCCTTAACCTCCATTCTGCAGCGGCAGTAGAGCAAAACAAAATGCCACAGTACTTCCTACTGTTATGTTTTAGCTTTATTATAAAGAAGTGAAATGGTCAATTCTTCTCTAAAACTTCTGCCTGGAAAATATTATTTAGAGGGGCTAACAGATGCATAGAACTAAAAATACAGAAAGAATTAAAACGAACTCAGTGATTAATGTTTGCAAGGAATGTTCATGGAAATTTGGCTTTCTGAAAAAACATTTTACAATCTGTATTACACCATATTATTTGAATTCTTAATAACTGATATCAAGTGGTAGCTGATAGAGGCATATCATATTCTAATTTTAAAATTATTTTTGCAGCCACTTAAAAATAACTACTAGACATTCACCCAGCTCATGTTGTGAAAAGATTCATTCATATAATTCAACATGCTTGAGATTCAAAGGCAAATGAGGGTGACGAGAATGAAAGACATATTTGCTTAATAAAATACCAAAATGTAGAAAATTCAGATTTGAAACAAAAGCAGAGATCTGTGAGGTGTGACTTACTTATTAAATCATGGAGCTACAAATGGGTGGGTCAGTGTGTCTTTCCTTTACTCACTAAATCCACATAACACAGGACAAACATGATCCTTATGGCAAACATAACTTACCTGTGCCATTGTTAACTGTGGTCTGGATCGTAGCTTCTGGCCCCATAGTGTCATAGTCTTCCTTCATTTCTTCTGTGGGGAAAAACTATGTTTAGTATTTGAAAACTGCAGAAAGGCTTACTATAGTAAACATGCCAAGCACAGGAACAAGGAAGATTCTTTTAAAGGAAACAGAGAAAAGGCTTGTTGTAAACCTCTAAACAATAGCTTTGTTCAGGCAGTTGAATGAATCCAATAGTGCTAGCTGCACAAGAACTTATTTACTTTAAGCATTACTGCAAGCTGTGAAAAACAGAGGTGCTTATTTGGAGCAAACGAAGGGCTTTTCTTCTGGTGGCAGTTCTAGTGACAAACAGGGAGAAGATATTATTTTTTCAATAAAGAGTCAAAAGCAGCTAAGCATTTGTACTGATGAAGAGGCATGCTAGCTGCTGCCTGTGGTAACTCTAGGTGCTCAGTGGCAAGTTAAGAATTTCCCATTTTATTTTAATCTTTTCCTTTCCTTTTGGGGTAGTTGGGATGGCACTAATCTAGGCAAGCATAGTTTTGAAAAGCTTCAATTCTACCTATCAACATTTGGAATGCCTAATTTATAAAACAAACATTCCAGAGGTATCAAAAATATCTATTTCACTGTTTTATATAAACTGATAAAACACATTTTCCTTATTCCTTTCTCAATCTCTCATAAGTACTTTTTCCTCTTTACCATTTATGCCTCCTTAGGTAATCACATTCATTTTCTGAGGCATAATATACAGATATAACAACAGCTTAAGATGAAAATATTTAACACTGAAGTTGAAGACTCATAAATGATTAAAAGTTACTTTCAAAAATTACAGGAGAGTTTGAAAAATAGTAGAATTGTTGAATTTCTCTGCCTACCAGATTATAGAGTATGTGGGAAGGCAGAGCAAGACAGCTGCCAGTTAAAAAATCTTTCAAGTGAGTCCATTAAACATGAACTTTTAAAAATTGCAGTTTTACAATGATAATACTAATGAGATTTAAACATGATCCAGGATAAATATCTCACTATGATAATAACTTTACTTAAAACAAGAGAAACTTTGTAAGACAATGAATTCTCAAATTTATCCTAGCATCCTTTGTTATCACATACTAGACTACTTTGATAGAAGTTTCCAGAAAATATTACATCAAAATTAAAAAATATTTTACAGCCAGTGTCCTGTGGTATATTTGCTTATGAGATCAGAGCTAATATATTATGGTCCACTCAAGGCAAAATACACAAATATACATAGACGCTAATTTAATGCTACTGCTGAAAATAGTATGGTAATTTGAATAAAATTTGTTTAGACTTTGAAACCACTTTAAATTTGTTCCTGATCCTAAACTTTTCCTTTGTTTGGGAAATATTTTTACAGAACCATTTTGCATAAGACATTTAGAAATTTTACTTATAGAAATACTGTGTTGTCAGTTGTAATAATTGATCATTTGAAAGACTCCGTTGTCTCATATTTTTATTGGTCTCTGAAAGGAATTAAAGTAAGGTATTTCTGAGAAGTTCAGTATCAGATACAAATATAGCTTTTGTGTCTTTCTTCCTCACTCATCTCATGTGATTTCTGGTAGCCAAGAGTCACAAGAATCATAAGTTTTCCATCTGAGAGCACATCAAGTCAGAGGGGAAAACAGCAGCTTTTTTTTTTGCATAATGGTTCAAGATTTCTGCTGCACTTCCTTCCTCATTATCATTTTCTTATGAAAAGGTAAAGAGAAGTTACAGTAGGTGGTTGCTTCCCAATTTAAAAAATGCTGGGTCTACAAACACATAGCTGGCACTTTGTGTGTATTGCCTGCTGCAGCACTGCTGAGCACTAACCCTATTCTACCAAAGATTGTGCGACTGCCATCTTCCAGAGACATCAGATTTTACCTAGGATATATTTTGTTTTGATTTACTGAGCATCAGCCATTTTGTCTTTCAAATATCAAGCTCAATTTAAAATGAAACCCCAAGCTTTTCAGGTATGTATCTGAAATATTATGTATATGCCTATTTGATTAGGTTCCACATAAATTCATATTCAGAAGGACATAATATGCATACTTTAGGACTATCTGCTCCTCTGGATTAATGGCAATCCTGGCTGTCATTCTTCCTTATGTCTAACCTTAAACATTTTCCAAGACATCTCTGACTCAGCATACTGTGTCTAAAGCCGCACAGTGTATTTATTTTTCAAACACTTGTAAAAGTTTGCATTTTCCAGTCACCCTTGGGATGAAGGTTTGTAAAAATAAAGAGCACTTTCTTTTGTAAGATGAAGAATCCTTGAATAAGCAAAAAGACGCCAAGATGCAGGTGATTTATTTAAGTCTGTGTCAATGATAATGATGTCATGGTTTCCAGCACACTGTGTCCACCCCATTGTGGGACGAAAGAATGTCAAGGACAATTCCAAACACAAAACTTTGATTGTGCTGGAACCGGAAAGGCACAGTAAGAACTCCACTGCGCTCT